CAACAATCCCGCCCCCTTGATAAACGACCAATCACGTTCACTTTATTCACTCGTGTAAGGTCATGCAGCACTGGGAGAATTCTGAAATTAAACGATTGGAACAACTGCTTCTCTACGACTTTTAAAGTTCCCAGCTCACAATGTTTGTTCTCACGCTGTGCGACCCGACGCTCTGATGCGATCTACCTGCTCTCACTGTACGTCTACAAACCAGGTGGAACTCAGCTCTGTAGTGGGATGGCGCTACTCGGACTCGTCTATCTGGAAGCCAAACCAGTAGAAGATGAATATGAAGCTCATTAGATCAGGGCTCTTCTAAATTTTTTAGTGAAGGACCCCAAACGGATGGCGAGATGGAGCGGGGACCCCCTAAAGAAGTTTGAATTCTGAATGTGAGGGGACTTTTCCTTTAACAGATCAATGAAAAAAAAAAATAGATTCATTCAAGAATGAATCGATATGAAAAAAGAGAATAAAGGAATTAATGCGATGGGCCTGCGTTTGTCCTTCTGTGAAAGCTCTGGACGATCACCGTGTCACAAGACGTTAGGCAGAGACGGCCGCTGTCAACATGGCCGAGAAATGTCTGAGCGAATCAGGGTTAAAACGTCACCAGGGCTTTGTCTGTGAAAATAAAGCTAATCCAGCCCTACACAGTGTAATCCTCAACACTCACTAATGATTCACCAAAACATCTCTTTTCAATTCTTCTAATCTTGAAAGCACCTGATAAAGTGGAGAATTTCCTTCCCCAGCATGTCCTTCTGCTGCCAACGATTTAAAAATATAAAACCAAATGAAGAGGAATGTCTACGGATTCAGCGTTCACGGCGTGTAATCCCAGTTTGAGCTAATTTCACTAAATATTGAAGTGGGTGTTTGAGAGGAGGCTGGGAGGACGTCTGAGCCACCGCAGCCAGATGGATTACACTGGGAGAGGCTTAGGCAATAGATGGATTCACTGATCAATGTGTCAGCAGCACACGCTCCTCTCCTTAAGTGCTGAAAGTAATCCAGAGTGATTTATAATATTGACTGGCGTGGAGGTGCTACTCATCCCCAGTGCCCATCAGTTAATGGAAAGCAAAATGAGCCGGGGTCAGATTATTTTAGAGCAGGGAACACGTCCGCGAGATGAAGAGCCATCACTGTAAACAGTTTGAGGAGGGTTTGGGAAACAAGGTCAAAGGATGAAGGTTCAGAAAAGCAAATCCTGACAAACTGGGATTACATATTCATCACTATAACTTCCTCAGCTTGGAAGGAACACAGAAACATTTATTCCTTAATCATCTCCAGATAACACAGAATGAACAACAGTCAACGGTTCATCTAACAGTAACATTTGGAGAGTCAAAGTACAGAAAATACCTTCCTATATTTAGAGGTTTGTGAAATGGGGTTAAAATCAAATAAACAGCTCCTCAGACACACTGGATGGATGGATGGATGGATGGATGGATGGATGGATGGATGGATGGATGGATGGATGGATGGATGGATGATGGATGGATGGATGG